TCTTTTATTCTGCCTCATTTTGAGTATTGTTCTTCAGTGTGGTTATCTGCTGCAAACTCACACTTAAGACTGCTTGGTCGTTCTTTTAATTCCATTAAATTTCTCCTGTCTGCCTTAAATTTGGACACTGGACATCGTAGAGTTATTGGGGCTCTTTCAGTTTTATACAAGATTGTAACCGATAATTCACATCCCCTCTATAAGTTTTTACCTGATTTTTATCAGCCTGCAAGAATTACCAGAAGTTCTACGACCCTCAATTCAATGACATTTGATATAAGTCGATCGTCTACAAGTCAGTTTTCTAGATGCTTTTTTAATGCTATTTGTAGACTTTGGAATAGATTGCCTTCAGAGATTGTAACTTCTTCGACTCTTGATAAATTTAAAACGTCAGCTAACATGTTTTTCTTACGTAATTACTTGACTTTCTTTTATTCATTCTTTCTTAGCTGTATCTTGACCTGCACTGACACCTTTGGTGGTATAAATCTCGTTTTTTTCAGTGTGGCTCATTATATAGCTTAATATATAAATAATAATAATAATAATAATAATGATTGGCCAAAGGCGACGGTTCCGAATGCAACGAAGAACGAATCCAACATGTAACAAGAGAACCAAACTGAAGCGAAGAGGATTGTCAGGAAATTGGATTACTGGAAGGGGAGGGATTGATTGTTTTATGGTCAGTGAATTTTCAGAAATTTCATGTTGATATTTATTAGTTACATGAACAGATAAATTACATGTTACTTATTACATAGCTACATTGGCATGTAATCAAATTCATGAAAAAATATTTGACGATAATCTAAAGGGAGTTTAGGAAATCTTAGGAATTTGCTTTGCCGTTAACGAAATGATGTAGGGATAACCAAGCAAATTAGAAAACATACACAAAGACAAAGTCATGTTGGGATACGAAAAATAGGTGGCATATGGATTTCGGAGCAGCCATTCGGCGGCAGAAAAGTACTAGGAATGTTGGCAAATATAGATGACCTAGTGTCAAGCTGTCAGAACTACTACAGTAACGTTTGCAGACCGTACCCCTTGGCACGAAATGCAACACTGGTTCAAAAAAGTGGGGGGGGGGGTAAACTGGCTGAATGGGAAGACAAACGTGTGCAAGGTTTGCTTGAGTAAATTACTTCGTAGATATTGCAAATCATGGGCTTGGGCAAAGCGATACTTTAAAGCAAAACTCCATTCTCCAATAATTTCAAAATTATATAATAGTGGAGATTGGGACATTCCATACAATTACAGACCAGTTTTTCCAGCTGGTGTAATGTCTTGAAAACATATATCAAAGTTGACTGTAGCTGGAAATGGCAGTAAACCTATTAATGATTGCATTCCATTCCATGATTAAAGCGATGGTGAATGAATAACAACTGTGATTTAACTGCTCCCTGCAACCAGTAGATCAATGCTGGATGGGGGGCAAGCTTCGGAAAATTGTAATTCCTGCCTTCTTGTTTCGTGTCACAGATTCTTGTATTATTTCTCTGTATATTCATTCACGTTGGCAGGATGTCGATCAAGTGTCGGATTAAATGCATCCTTGTTCCCCATTTTTTCTTGTTTTTCAATTTCTTTGGGTCTTATGTTTAGGTATGGTGGCGGCCGAGCTAACGAGGAGTTGCGTGTTTCGTGCACTTTTATCTTGTCACATTTTCTTTCTGTTCACTTATTTTTACTTTGGTAAAGTTTTAGCCTATTATACCTAATGATTCCCAAGGGTTAGGCTGCAAGTGAGGGATTAAGGTAAAATATCCAACACAAAAAAAACAATAAGCAAAAAAAAAAAAAAAAAAAAAAGAAAAAACAAAAATAAAAAGAGTTTTGATAATTACGTTGATCATCTCTCACAAACTATAAAAAACTAGGTCATATGTGTGAAAGGACTTCAATAATCTGCTTCATATATATATATATATATATATAATATATATATATATATATATATATATATATATATATATATATATATATATATATATATATATATATATATGTTGTATTTAGTACTCTTCATATTTATAGCTTTCTTTATCTGATACTTCCTCAATGAAGTCTCACTCAAATTTCTAAATGAAAAGGTAAGCAAAATAAGCCAAACAATTATACTTCTTCACTATTACCATATGTTTATTTTATACTTACATTTACAATTTCGTGGATTGAGTTGTGTTGTGCTTTGTTGTATTACTATGATTTATACATAAATTTCTCTTTTAAAACGTGAGATATTCGTCGAACACTTGAACAAAGTGGTAGAAGATAACTTTAAAAGCATTTGGTAGTTATTTGATAACAAACTGTTTCCAGCTTTAATGTACTTATGCCAATCAAAAGGATTTATTATAAGACTTTTATGAATAATTACTTAAAGGATCAATGCAAGCAAGTCCTCACAGGATGTATTGTATGGGATCCCCGTGCCTCAGGGTACAGTTACTCTCTCGGTTATGTAAAATCAAAAACAAAACAAGGTTGATCTAGTGCATCATACAGAATATAATGTCATATGCACTATATGAGTGGCTGTTCATTTTGCAAGTGAAACCTAAAATCTAAACTTAAGTATATGTATGGCAGTTATGATAATAGCACCATTTTGTGGATAGGATCTTTTTAACCATTAATAAAAGCAGTGACTGGAAAATATGTATATTGGATCCTTTTTCTGAAGCATTCAGGTACATTTTTTTATTGATTATATATCTAGTTGTAACCATTTCCTCAAATCTTTATCTCATCAGTGTGATATATATATGAGATGAAAATAAATTCCTCTCTCTGATATATATTTCGGTACCAGAAAATACCTTTTTATTCATTATGTATACAGTGTACAAAGACCTAACCATTGGAAGTAAGAACACCACATAGCCTGTGTACCCGAAAAGGTTCGAACATCTCCCGAAACGTTTACCTCCAGTACCGCCACTTCGGGTTCCTCGAAATTCTCTTAACGAGAACCTTCTCTCCCACACTCACTGTTCCACACGTGTCAATACCCAAGATGGTTCCAAACAGCGGTGACGTGGCCCATAATTTAGCCAACTTCTCTGGGCTTTTGAGTATGCGGTATCTGTGGTCGGGAAAGCGGTCTCAATGAAATATGTATTGTGCTTAATTGTAAAATTGTTATATTTTACAAAAATTTCGCTTATTAAGCCTTAGGATTCTCATAATTTTCACATTTTTTAAATTGTTTTCTCAAAGTAAATTTCTCAAACCGTATCCTCTACTTGACTACTTAAATAATGTCATGGATTTCAGCCTCGTCTCATCCAAATGATAATTATACCGATTATAACAATGATAATCAGGTTCATCCTCATTACTATCACTTTATCTCTGTATTTCCGTATGGCTAACGCATGACATAAAGTTAAACTTTAATAATTACTAAATAATTTAAATCTCTGTCGAGCTATGCTTTGAAATGTAATATATTCTATTTATTCATTTCCTCATATATTTAATATTACTTACGCCTTGAGAGTTTGCTGAGGTTCCTTAGCAGGGTCCTTGGTTCCCGTCTCTGGATCGACGGTAGGAAAAGAGCACCTGTGGACCAAAATGCAATTGGTTATCTCGCGAAAGGAAAATTTTGCGAGGATTCATTATTAAAGTTCTCTGGTTAAATAATTACACAAAGGATGTGGGGAGTAATTACAGTGGATGAGGGGTTAGCATATACAGTAACTACCCTCCCCCTATTCACACATTAACACAAACATAACCCAGCCTTTCCCTTACCACGCAAATGGCCCCCTCATATTCATTAGCCGACATCCCTCTCAACAAAGATCATCAGCACACACCAAGCCAAATCAACGAACCTCTGCTATTTATAAAGGGGCAACTTCTCTCTTCTCCCAACCTGTCCATACCTCAGCTATTCCCCGAACCCCTGCTGCACCTCCCGCCCACACCCACATACGACCGAGCTATCCGCAATCCCTCCCTCCCCTCTGTTGCACCCTCCCATCCCCAGACCCCCGATGCCTATACGACCAACCGCTTCCTAAACCCACCACCCATATGGTGCACCAATATCAACATAATCCGGTCACCGCTATCCAGTCACCTCACTACCCACGCCACCGACTGTAGGACCAACCACTTTTCACATAATCATAACATCGTCGATACAGTTTCCACCACTCTCACCATCCATACGACCCTCCAGTTTAAACCACCACACCCACCCTTCTCCACATAACCCCCCCCCCCCTCGTCACCCAAACGACTCACCACTACGTACATTATAACCGTCCACAACTCACAGTATCACCTACCCCACATTACCCTCAAAATGTGTGCGTGTGCATGCATGCGTTTGTGGGGTAGTTAGTACCTTTAGCTAACGAGCCCACGACCCTCACCTGTCACACGGCCTCAGCATCCTGAAGACGACCTCGCCGATCTTGACGTAAGCCCAGTCGTCCTCATCGTAAGGCTTCGATCCTCTGACCACGATGTTTCCCCGGAATCGGTTTCCTTTCACGGGTTTCTCCAAGCGCGTGTTCAGTTCCTCCACGGACGACTCGGTTACTGACAAGGCAATTTATGCAAAATTGGGATCAGGAAAATAATATTGGTCATTTTTTTATTGCTGTTAGAATGGTAATTATTTTTCACATTACTATCATCATTACTTTTGTTATGATTGTCATTATCACTCTCAGTATCATCACTTCCTTCACCATCACTAGTAATGCTGTTTTTATTATTGCTGTGCCAAGTGTCATCGAGTACACAATCAAATACCCATGAACGCTCACATATGCGCGCGCGCACACACACACACACACACACACACACACACACACACACACACACACACACACACATATATAATATATATATATATATGTATATATGTATATATATATAATATATATATATAATATATATATATATATATATATATATATATATATATATATATATATATATATGTATGTATGTATATGTTATATATAATATAATATATATATATATATATATATATATATAATATATATATATATATATATATATATATATATGTATATATGTATAGAGATGTATAGAGAGAGAGAGATATGTATATATATACATATATATATATATATATATATATATATATATATATATATAATATATATATATATATATATATACATATGTATTATATAACATAAATATCACCAAAATTTATGAAGCCACCATCTCGATGATGCCTACCCACCCTCACACTCTCACGGTCACCAAAGTCCCCCACCTTTCTCGCAATCACAGCCCCCCCCCCCACCCCCATACAACCCCACCCCACCCACCAACCTACCTTATCCGTGTCCAAAATCTGCGGAAATTCCCTTTCCTCGTGCCTGGCAACCCTCCGGTCCAGCTCCGGGTGCCTATAAAGGACCCGCACCTCGCGACGCCCCTGGTAGAGGAACTCGCTCAGCCAACGGGACACCTCGTCGCCACAGTCCACGCCCTTGACTGGAGCGCCGAAGATGCTGGAGTGATGAGGATGTCAAGTTTATTTGTTGTTGGTGATGGTGTTACGTCGTCGTTTGAAGCAGTTGATTGTGATAGCATCATTATTTAAAATGTTATGAATATCAATACCTAATTGTGATAAAGCGCTGATTATTCTAAAAAAAAAAAAAAAAAAAATGTGATTACAGTGACTTATCAACGTTATCATTGTCATACTGAGGAAAATACTGCTACTGATAATGACACTGCTTTTGATGATTAAAAAATCTTAATAATCAGTCTTACTAAATGACCTCTCTTACTCTGCATCTCTGGCCTCTCCTTCTTGAGTCACCATCTGGAGGTTGACCTTGGCATGGCCTTCAGCTCCTTCGGCCTCAAAAGTAGCCGTTTCGCCGTCGATCTTGACCGTGACAAAGGTGAGTTTCGGTTTCTGACGTCCTGTCACCAGGGAACCTTCCTTCAGGATGACTATGAACGACCTTCGGGAGAGAGAGAAGGGGGAGAAATGCTAGGGCGAGAGAGAGAAATGGAGAGAGAGGGGAAAGAAAAAAGTGGCTTTGTGTGTGTGTGTGTGTGTAAGAGAGCGAGAGAGAGAGAGAAAAAATGAATGAGAGAGAGAGGGGGGAGGAAAAGGAAAGAGTAAGTGAAAGTGTGTGAGAGAGAGTGAGAGGGGGGAGGGACGGGGCGGGAAAATTATGGCGAGAAAGATAAATAGAAGGAAAAGGAAAGAGTGAGTGATAGAGAGAGAGAGGAGGGGGGAGGGGGAGAGAGAGGTAGAAATTGAAATAGACTGATACAGAGAGAGAGAGAACTTTGCAGACAGAAAAACAGAAATAAAGGATAAGACAGACAGAGACAGAAATTCTAAGCCAAACAGTCGGGTTGTCAAAATTGCAAGAAACCCGACCCGATAAATATTCATGTGTGTGGACATACACATCAACAGAAAGCAAAGCGCAACATCAATCGCCCTACATACCTGCCTGCCTCTTTACATACTCATACACGTTTATATTTTATGTGGCTGCATGTCCACTTGAAAATATATTCATTGGTTCGAGGCCTTCCTTGTTTTAACGAACCGACCACAAGACTGTAAGTAAAACAAAGACAAACAGGCAGAAAGACATATAAAATTCACCCTCTCACCTGTCTCTGTGAGGACCCACAGAGAAGCCGTGTTCTGTTGCCTCCGCCTCCTGCACGTACAAAGGCCGTCCAGACTTCAGAGGGTACACGACCAGCTCTGAAACCACGCCCACTTCCTCCCAGCTGTGTTGAGGTGGAACGGAAGGACGCGGTGAATTTCATCTTAAGTCTGTATGCTTCAGTTTGGATTAAGACAACTTGAAGTTTTACCATTTGTAGTTGGGCTAAAATTCATGTTAATTTATTATCCACGTCGCCATCATCATCTTTATTACTTTAATTAATATCATTATTATCATCATTAATACCATGATTATTATTGTCATCATTGATATTATTAGACTCGCAATCATTATTATCATCATTAATACCATGATTATTATTGTCATCATTGATATTATTAGACTCGCAATCATTATTGCCACTATCAGTACTATAATAATAATAATAATTATTATTATCTACTTATGATCTTATGATTTTGCTTGAGCTTCATCTGTCTGTCTGTCGGTTTACATTATGCACATACATTTTAAGCCAAACTTTTCTTCACTGTCATGTAAATTGGGCATTTTCAGCCTGAACTCAAATTCCTCGTGACTGCAGACTTAAAATGCGTTTATTTTGGTATAAAATCGGAATCGAGAATCCTATCCCACGCTTTTCGAGGCAAGTACGCCGAATTGAAGTAGTTAGACCCTCAGTTTCTGCACATCTATTACTTACACGACTATCTGAGGGGATGGTTGAAAAGGAAGGGAGAAGAAAGGGGAGACGAAAGGGGAGAGAGGGAGAGAGAGGAAGGGAAAGGGAGATGAAAGAAAGGGAAGGGAGGGA